ACCAATCTTGACCCCACATTTCTCCTCATAGAGCCCAGCCTCCCGGATAATCTGTTCTGCATACAGGTTGTAAAGGTATGGAGATAGGATGCATCCCTGCCATCCAAGCATAGCTTCACAGAACCAAGCCCATTATTAGGAATTTTTAAAATACGGTTTTAGGATAGAATGCTAGTTGTCCCTGAGGCTACAAAATTTCCATCACCATGATTACTTTTGCACACTTGGTTCCCCTTGTTTTTATGAAATCATGCCGAGCAAGTGGTCAAGTTTGCCATCTCCCATTACTGTGGTTTTGTTTCCAATTTATAGTGACCTTATTTGACAAAACAGAGCTGCCCCATAGGGTTTCCACAGCTACATCTTTATGGGAGCAAAACCAGAACATCTTTCACTGGCCGGGTGAACGGTGGGTTTGAACTGTCAGCCTTCTCACTAGTATCCTAACACTTTAACCATTGTGCCACCCCAGTCCCTGATAACCACTAATGAACTTTTGTCTTTATGTATGTGACTGCTCTAGATATTTCACAACGGTGGAATCACTTAATATTTGTACTTTTGTGTCTGACTTATTTTCACTCCTGTAAAATTATTCAAAATTCGTTCATAATATATGTAGCATATCTCAGGTCTTCATTTCTCCTTGGGGCTGAAAAAGGCCCCACTGTGTGGATAGAGCACAGTTTGTTTATCCATCTGCATGTTCATGGACTGTTGGGGTTGTTTCCATTTTTTGACTGCTCTGTGTGGTGCTACTGGGAACATTGGTTTCTTAACCAAGTTTTTAAAATGTGACACGTATGGATGCACACATGATAAGTGGGCATGTTATGCGAGGGCAGCAGGATGAATTTTCACAGAGTGGACAACCTTGTCCAACCAGCATCCAGATCAAGAAATGAAAAATTTCCAGCGGCTCAGAAGCCCCTCCGTTATCACACTCACCATCTCCCATCAAGGGCAGTCTCTGTCCTGATTTCTGCTCTTATAGATTAATTTTATCTCCCCCCCTCAATTTTAAAGAAATTCAACGGTACAACAAATATTTTTGTGTACATCTGGCATCTTTCATGTATTTGTGAGATTTCTCCATGTGGTTAGATATAGTGATAGTGTGTCATTGCTTGTAGAGGGTTCTGTTATGGAAACACTCCATGATTTATTTATCCATTCTACTCTTAGTAACAAACTGTGGCTGACTCTGAGAAGAATGGGAATCCCAGAACACTTGATCATGATAATACGAAACTTATACTTGAACCAGGAAGCAGTCGTCAGAACAGAGCAAGGAAACACTGCATGGTTCAAAATTGGGAAGGGC